TACTACTACTACTACTACTACTACTAATAATAATAATAATAATAATAATATTAAAATAATAATAACTGGGAGTGTAGCTGAGTGATATCAGTATTACTGACGCTAATACCAGTCGGGAATGGCGCTGATTAAATTCACCGCTGGCCTCATATCCCCCAGTCTCAATAAGGACTGTGAATCCCGGTTTATGCTATTCCGAGTAAACGCAGGTTTGAGGCCTGGAGCACAACAGGGCTTGCCTTGGTTTCTGTCCACTCACCTCTATTCACTAGGCTTAGCCGGTTTCTACTGAGTATGGACTACGAGGATTAGGATACTGCTATCAAAAGTACTGTACCTACACTAGGAGTGCTAATTATAGTGATCATTCTTCCTAAGACCAGTAAGTTGTATCCTATAATACGACCTGTGTGTGCTTGTAGGAAGTCGGAACCCAATGTGCAGTCCGAAGCTGTATGAGGTAAAGTGATTAGCTTATGGGTGAAATAAAGCGTTATTAAATAGTAGCACCAGTTCTACCATGCCTTTATGTCGTAAAGGTTGCCATCTATAGATTACCTACATGTTTACGACATTATCCTACTCTAGCTTGGACTTTACAGAACGTCAGGTAAGACATTAGAACAGTTTAAATCAGTGCAAAGGAATAGGGCAATATTAGTGCTGCTGGTAGTATTAATGATAGTGGTAATACGTGCGACACTAGTTCGTTTGGTCTGGAGGGCAATGCTATTTTTTAGACAATCAACGGTTAAATTATTTCCCCCTTCAAATTTTGTTTCTGTTGAATGATGGATCGTGTGTGTTCGCCACGATCATAATCAATTTACAGTTTTTAGTTGAAAGTGCATGACAGCACTTGAGCAGTACGCGCCTTCAAGTACATTTAAGTGGTTACTGTTGTAACGGTAGCCAAGGCCGAGGTGTCACCGCCCAATTAAGCCTTGTGTGAGTCCCCGAAGAAGAACACGACAAGCAGAGGGCAAAAGCAGAAGTATTTGAGTGTAACTAGTACGCATATTTAGGGCAACAAACAGGCGTAGAGTTATATCCATCGAGCCAATCAGCTTCTCTCCTGGCGTAGGTGCTGGCACGATTAGCTGGTGACTCAGTGACTGAATGTAGCTTGAAATTTGAA